ACCTTTAAACTAAACCTAAAGTCTTAGAATAATAACACTATAAAAAATTAGAGTTATTGGTAGAATCTTAATGTGGCATTTTAAAAAACCCTTTTCTTTTAAAGCACTTTTTTATGTTGTATAAAATACAAAAACACACACCTGTATTAATTTTTGTAGAATCAATTTTTTTTATTTATAAATCTTTAACTAAACTAAAAAGTATTAAAATAATATATATACAACTTCCAATCATTGGTAGACCAATGTTTAATGTGCATTTTAAAAACCGCATTATTATGTTCTTAATTCCTTAAATCAGAATCAGAAATTTTGTTTATTGCCAAGTAGGTTGTTTAGGCTACCGAGTGCCCCTCGCCCTGGTGCCGCTTCGCGCGCTGCATAAAATATACACATATACATCAATACACAATATATCAACCTTATTTCTCAATCACACAACCCAATCACACAGAAAACATAAAGTAGCTTCTCTCCAATCAAAAATAAATCACGATCCCCCCAAAGGATCACCGCATGCCCTTAAGCCAAAAGAGCGCACACGCTTGTGCAGGAAGACCAGTGGCGTGCATTCTCAATGTACATAGCATAACTTTATACTCACACAACAAACCACGTGCACCCTCGCGCAGACTCAGACAACCACCAGACACGCAGCTCACGTGTACCTTTTTTTTACTCGTTCGTATCAAAATAAAAAAAAAAATCACACACTTATAAATTTTTTTGGCTTCAGCACATCTACGTTTTTTTACTTTATAAACTTCGCATAAGGATATAAGAACTTTTATAAATATAATCATAAATAAAATAAAAACATAAAGATTCCCACTCATCTGGGCTCGCCACATCCACTTACAGCTCATCGATTTCATGTAATACAAAAGTAATTTCCCCTGGGTAAAGAAACCAGAATATTGTCATGAAAAAAGAAAAAGATAGATCATATGTAAAAATACAATACAAATAGACTATACAACATCATAAACCAAACAAACGAATACAATACAATAAATCATATAATAGATAACAATACAAAAATAATGTAAATTAGTCATACATAAAGAAATACTAAAAGAAACACCATAACAGATGTTTTCACTCTTGATTGAATCACAATCGCCCCATTAAAATCTGGTAGAAAAAAGCTGCATATGTTTTGACACAAGAGAGCACGCCACAACAAGAGTATGTAGGGAGCAAACTAAGTGTAAAAGATAGAATATAAAAGAATAACTCACACAAAAAGCCAAATATACAAACCAACAGTAAAATCATCATACTAAAAAACCCATACAATAAATCATAACACCAACTACATATAATAAAAAAAAATAAAATAACAATCTAACAAAAATATATCATACACCCCATAACATACCCGCCTCAAACACACTAAACCCATAAACAATCAAAACACACACTACAACTAACATACAAAAATAAAACACACCCTACTATACAACCCACCAAAATACTCCAAAAACACAACAATAAACACAAAACAATCAACCAAAACAATAAATAAAACAACAATCACAAAAAAAAAACTAACAACAAAAAAAAAATAAATTAACACAAAAAAATAACACACCAACCCAACCCCAACTCAAATCAACATAACCACCACTCCCACACCCCCATCCACCTATCCAAAAAACACTATGAAAATAAAACAATAGCCACCAAAAACCACCATCACACTCACAAAAACCTACTCAAACAAACTACATAAAAAAAACATAAAAAATAAAACACAAACAAGTTTATAAATAAAAAACCGAGATTTTACAAAAAAATTCTAATTATTTTTATTAAATAACAGTGTTTTTTTTTTTTAAATGTGATACAACAACATAAAAAAAATAAGTAAATAAAAAAACTACAAACTTTATTTTGAAAGAAAACCGGAGTCTGCGCAGTGCATTCCGCGCAGCTTGACGGCGGTGCTTTAGAGGCGAGCAGCCGATGAGCGCGTCTGCTGGGCGACAGACTCACAGGAAAAGTTAGTCAAGATGGCAAATCCCACAGACCCGGAGTGAAGGGGCACCGCTCCCCGAAAAAAAGCTCAGCCTGCCGCCCGTCCCGAGACAAATACCCCAACGATGCAAACTGCCCCAGGAGGTAAGAACCACCCCGCTCGGTACATTTAACTCAGGCTCCTAAATTAACTCTATAAAACCTCTTTTTGTGTGTGTTGTTTTGTCCACTCGGCTTTATCCAAGGAGGAGGAGGAGGAGGAGGAGGTGGAGGAAGGAGGGGGTAATGGAATAATAAAAAGAAAAAGAAAACAGTATTTGTAGATTATTTAATTGTAACTTACATTAAAGTCTCACCGGGTGAAGTTATAAGTTAGTGAAATGTGAGAAAATGTTTATTTCTCCGCTTTTTCTTTGTACAAACTGCTCACACACACATAACCTGTATCCGCCAACGGTCATTCAGTTGTTTGAATTTCAATTTCGTGAGCTTTATTGTCACGAAAAGAGACTTTATGTCGGCCAAAAGCTCAAAAACAGCAACAAAAAGCTTCAAAAATCATCAGAATAATAATGAATGTATGCATGTGCAGTCGCAAACACTTGTAAAATAGGGCATTTTAATATAAATATGATAGAAAACAAGCAAAACAAATAAGGAATTCGAGTTTTCATTAAGGTGGCGTTTTAACAGCTAATAAATCCACATTTTTCTGCTCGTGCTTCCGGATATTTGGCTCTTACTCCTGCATGTTTGCCGCAGTGTAGAAATAAATAAATGAATAAATGAATAGAAAATGTGTGTGTTGTCCACTGTCAGTCCCTGTGTGCTGATGAAGCAGAGTGACAGTTTTAGACAGCGGCTCTCCTCCCTCTCTCTCCCTCCCTCCCTCCCTCCCTCCCCGGCTGAAGCTCACCACTACAGCCCCAGCCTCGGGGGTTTTTATTTAAAATACAGCTTTTATGTGACTAACCTGTCATTAAAATAACGGAGGGAAGGGAAGTCGCTGCGAACAGCAGTCGGTAACCCGGCGTCCTTCCCCTTTTTTTTTTTTTGGAAAAATTCCGGGATGCAGCGCCAGTACTACCGACAGCTGTATTTTTAGGAATGGGTGGATACCAAAAGCGAAAATTATTTATTTTTGTCCCGGCGGTGAATGCCACAAGCCCTATGCGCATAGGCGACGGCGAGGAGGCGACCTATAAATGCATGTATGAGTTCTCTGAAGGCTGTTTTCTCTTCCTCCTTCCTTCCTCCTCCTC